CTTCTTTCCTGACTCACATTGCCCACAGTTGTCACTGTTGGCAGTCACTAGTAAACATTAGGGATACAAAGAAGTCCTTTTCATGATTAGGCGATTTCATCAATATTATACAGCTAAGTAGTCTCAGGACTAAAACTAGGATCTGAGCTTTTCATTACAGAGAATTAGAAATCTGGAATCTTACATGGAATTCTAAATTTTGCCTAGTTTGTTCTATAAAGCAGAACGAGATGAAGTATTTCTTTATACTCTGGGTGTCACCACCTTCACATGGATACTCTTGTATTTGTGATTCTTGCTATTTTTGTCTACTTGGTAGTCCCTATAGTGTAAACAATTTTGAAATGCGTAGCGTCTCTTCTTTACTTCATTTGATGAAAGCAGTCACTGAGCATCTGCCATTGACAGATACTGTGGAAGATATTGGGAACCTGGGGAGTGTAGTGGTTACGTTTTGGGCTGCTTACCTCAAGGCCTGCACTTTGAAACCACCAGCTGCTCAGAGAGAGAAAGACAGGGCTTTGTACTTCCCCAATGAGTTACAGTCTCAGAAATTCACAAGGGCAGTTCTACCCTGCCCTATAGGGTTGCTATGAGTCGGAATCCACTCGAGAGCAGTGAATGCATGGAAGGCATTAGAGATAAAGAGGTGAACTTACCTTGTGATAGGGCCCCTTTGCCAGATTGCTGGCACATGCCTGCATTTTCAGCTAGGTGACCTTCAGGAAGAAGGAACTCCTGAATCCCTGGAACAGCTGACATGCATGAAGACCAATAGCACTGTGGCTGTTGTGGACATCATACGGGGCTTCACAGAGTGAAAGTTTCTGTGGAAGTCCACCAATTGCGATAGCCCTTGGGTGAGAGTCTTGAAGATCAAAAATCTTAAGAAAACAGGGAAATTGTTAGCCTGAAGAGGGTAAATACTGTATATAAATATATTTAAAAAAAATCATTTTATTGGGGGCTCATCCAATTCTTACCACAATCCATACATGCATCCACTGTGTCAAGCACATTTGTACATTTGTTGCCCTCATCATTTTCTATCAGCTCCTCATTTTTCCCCTCTCCCTCCCCGCCTCCCTCATGAACCCTTGATAATTTATAAATTATTATTATTTTGTCATGTCTTACACAGTCCGACGTCTCCCTTCACCCACTTTATGTTGTCTGTCCACCAGAGAGGGGGTTATATGTAGATCCTTGTAATTGGTTCCCCCTTTCTACACCACCCTCCTGGTTTCGCCACTGTCACCACTGGTCCTGAAGGGATCATCTGTCCTGGATTCCCTGTGTTTCCATTTCTTATCTTTACCAGTGTACATGCTCTGGTCTAGCCGGATTTGTAAAGTAGAATTGGGATCATGATAGTGGGAGGAGGAAGCATTTGAAAACTAGAGGAAAGTTGTATGTTTCATCGGTGCTACCTTGCATCCTGACTGGCTCGTCTCCTCCCCGCGACCCTTCTGTAAGGGTCTACCGATGGCCTTTGGGTCCTCACTCCGCACTCCCCCTCATTCACAATATGATTTTTTGTTCTTTGATGCCTGATACCTGATCCCTAAGACACCTCGTGATCACACAGGCTGGTGTGCTTCTTCCATGTGGGCTTTGTTGCGTCTGAGATAGATGGCCGCTTGTTTACCTTCAAACCTTTAGAACCCCAGACACTATAAAAATACTTTTCAGAGACCGTTATAATTGTTATTTTTCTCCCAATATCCTGGTGTAATTAATGGTTATGACATGCTTATCTTTGTTGGATCAATGAGAAGCTTGAAGTCCAGAGAGAGGACTTAATGAGTTGCTCCAGGCTATCCAGCTCCTTAACACCAGAAAAGGGTGAACTAGAACCCGAGTATCCTGACTCCCAGTTCATTGCTCTTTCTGTTACAACTCGTTGCTGCCACACATGAAAATGACAGTGGTTATGGCTATGGACCTATTTACTTGTTTCCTTACATGGGAGGCACTTTTTGTTTTATTTATTGAGGTTGAGGCTGAGCTGAACTATATTTCTGTACCCAGTGTCACACCAAACTGCAAGATACAAGATCTGTTCTCAGGTCAGACAGGCAATAACGCTAAGATTCTCTCTTCAATGGGGTATAGCTCATACTACTGAACTAAACTGAGATCGGAGGAGTCTAAAGTTAGAGCCCACATCAGTAAAGAACTTCTCATTAGGGTCATTTGGGACAGGAAGGTTGCTTGTTCTCTAAATTTAACACTTAGAGGAGTCATACAGCCTATGACCTTTACCCTGCTTAGTTTGTAATAGAGGCCCTTTGTCAGTAGAGCATTCATGTGGATTCCACTCCACTCTTTCAGGTCAGTCCCCCCATTAAGTCTCGGACAGCAAAGGGGTGAGTTGAACTGTTTTTCTCACTGTGAGGGAGGTATTCATGCATTATGCTCAGCCAGTTAACAGGTCAGAGGAATGAGTTTCCCACTGTGCAAAATGCATGAGTGTAATAACTTTAGCTTAAAATTTTTCCCTTACCATCAGACACCCTAAAAATGTGCTAGTTTTGTTTGGTTAGTTTTTAGTAGCTACAAAATGAGAAATAGTAACTTCTTAGATTGTTTTGGACAAATTGTGAGTGTGTGTGTGTGTGTGTGTGTTTGTGTGTGTGTTCATTCCCTATACACTCTTCTCACTGCCTCCTCATTCTGAAGTTTGGAAGTGTCTGAGTCCTAAAGCAAAATAATTGAATGTGACAGGAACACAGAAACCTGAAGACCTGTGAGTCACAAAAGATTTGCATTGCAAATATAAAAATAAATAATGAAACGTCTTTTTCTCTCTTACAGGGAAGCTGGATTCCAAGATCCATCAAGGAGCAAAGAAGGGGTTAATGAAGCAGAATAAAGCTGTCTGACCCAGGAGAAAAGAAACTATATACAGCATAGTGGAGTTTTGTGTACTAAATTGCTATCCACTGGGCCTTTGGAATTAAAGCATTAGAAAACTAAAGGCTTGCATCCCTCAGAATTTAAAGTCTTCAAAATCTGTTTATTTTTCTTAAAGGGTGTAATTCTTACTCCCTGTAGTTGGTCAAAATCTTTGAATACATTCTTTATAAAAACCAAATTTAAAACTTCTAAGTCTTTGACAGTTTTCTCATAATGGTTTTGGAGAAGAAAAAGGAACAAGTTGGAAATTTTCTCTTTGTAGTCAGAAAAATTCTTAACCAGGTTAATGATTTTTTTTGAGAGCCCTATTGGATTTAATTTTTCCTTCTTCTCCCAAAGTGCTAGCCCAATAGAGTAATGGAAAGTTTTAGGGACCCTCTGTTTAACACAAAACCTGTGATGACACAAAATATTTATAACACGTTTCCTGCTTCAGTGCAGAGTCTGTGATGTGAACAGTCATCAAAACCCAAGTAACCTTCATTGGCATATATACTTGGGGGGCTTAGGGGTAAGATCACCTGAAGTTCTACAGCTTTGTTCTTTGATATGGGATACTAGGGCATGAGAGGGTCAAAATGGGAGGAGATGGAGCCACCTGCCAGACAGCACAAAACTCCCTGATTTGTTCTGCTGGTATCACAAAAGCATTACTTGGAAGGGTAATTGAAAGCAAACTGAAAAATAAAATTCCTTCGGTAAATGTGTCCAAATAGTCCCCAAATCCGGAAACCAAATCCTTTAACCCATCGACACCTCAAGAAACTGTAAACTTTGGGAAAGCAGGAGGGTGGTTTGAAATGAGATTTGTAACTAGTTGGTCTGATCCCACATAGTGATGGACTTTGTTTCTGAGGCTGTTCTGAAGAGCTGTCAGAATCTCAGTTGCTGCCACCTTGATGAAATTCATGGCCTTAAATGTGTATGTTCTGCTTTTTATAATGCAGCACCATTACACTGGGGAAGTTGGATTCCCTCCAGCAGTCGTATGCATGACTTTAAAAAGAGAGAGGGGGAGAGGCGAAAGTACCCTGTGTTATGAAAAAGATTAATTTCCCCTTTCTTTAATCTTTCATATTCAGCATTTATTTGCTCTGAAATGCCTCCACTCATTATGCATTGATGTTCACTGAGCTGTGAAGCCTGCTTGCTGCATAGCTCTAGGCATTGGTTCTGCAGGGCCCGTTCACTCTGGATTCCCAGGGAAAACCCTCCCCATTCTTGTTTTGGTGATACATACATGCAGTATTCTCTTTTCCGCTCTCCTGTTCAGTCCATATGGAGAGAGTGGAAAGGAAGGAAGGACAGCTAATGACACTTCTCTAGGGGAAAATAAAAGTCTCTTTCTGGTCTCCTATTAATGAAGTTGCATTTGGTTCACCAAGCAGTTAATAGTTTACCAAACATTAGTAACCAAAATACAGTACTGGAATCACCTAGTTCTATTAATAGGTAAAGAAGTGCTGGTGGTGCACTGGTTAAGAGTTTGGGCTATTGGAACCTGCCCAACTGCTCTGTGGGAGAAAGATGTGCCAGTCTGCTCCCCTAGAGATTACAGACTGGGAAACCCTATGGGGCGGTTCTACTCTGCCACATGGGATGCTATGAGATTGAGTCAACTCCAAAACAGCAATGCTTTGGGGGTTTCTTGGTGGTGGTGGTGGTCTTAATATCAAAATAAAGCCAAAAGGGCAGTAAGGGAAGAGCCAAGAGAGACACAAACCAAAACAATCCCTCCTCCCCCTTCAGTTTTTATTTGTGCAGCACAAAAGAGCCTGGGTTGATTCTTTCACCTTGATAGATTGTGTTTGCATGTCTAAAACAAAACAACACAATAAAAACATCAGGAGCTGCAAGCAATCAGGTTCTGCACCCATTTTGTGTGCTGTGATAAAATCTAAGTTATAAGAACCCACCTCAACACTCAGAATAAGCAGTTGGAGCCACATGGGTAAAAAGCAGGCAGAATAATTTAACTACGTCTCCTTTCCAGGGTTAGACTGTGAATGCCTGACTTTAATTCACATGGTGGGGGTATAAGGGCTCTATTTGTGGAGACATCGGGGAGGAAGTGTGGGAGAAACTTGGGGGTAGGTGGCACTCTGTTGTTCAGTGATAATAGCAAAATCTAAAACCTATTGGAAATGCATAGCAGCTTGAGTGCAAATGAGTAGGAAGAGATTTTTAGTGCTTTCCAACACTTTGCTCTGACCCTGTAATAGTGGAGCAGCGTGGTCTAAGGGACTTTTCCTTTTCTGGAGTAGTTGTCTGCAGTCCCTTTCAGATAGTTAGGTTCAGTTACTACCCCCCATTTGTACAGCACCTGAAGGATTCATGTGCTTGTGTGTTTTGTTTGTTTTTGCTTTTCCAGGCAGAACCTAGCTTCAGTTATGTAAGCTCAGAGTAGGCTATATATAAGACAAGGGAGACAGACTTTCTCTGTAAATGTTTGGTGCCTTTGGCCTTGGAGTTGGATTGTTAGGTTTGAGCTCCCAGCCAGGAAGGGGTGGTACACCTAGGTGGGCGTTACACCTGGATTGGCCTATCTGGGCCAGGTGAATTCAATTGAGCCAATGGGGTCGACCAATACCGTCGACCACGCCTTCCAACGGGGTTCCTGAAAAACCAGAAGTTTTTCTCTCTGGCTCTCTCCCAACGGCTCAGACACACACACACAGTGCAGCTGGGCTGTGGCCCAGGCAGGTGGGCTGCAGTCTTGTGCATATGCGCCGCTTCTATCCTCTATAAACTCACTTGGATCGCAAACCAATTCATATTAGAGCAGTGGTTCTTTCTCATGCCGCAACCCTTTCAGACAGCTCCTCGTGGTGGTGACCCCCAACCATAACATTATTTCCGTTGCTACTTCATCACTGTAATTTTGCTACTGTTCTGAATTGGGTGACCCCTGTGAAAGGGTCATCCGACCCCCAAAGGGGTGGCGACCCACAGATTGAGAACCTGAGAACCGCTGTATTCGAGTTTCTGGGACTGCAAATCTTTATGGAAGCAGATAGTCTCATCTTTCTCCCTTTCAGTTAGCAGTCCAGCACTGAAGCCACAGCACCACCAGGACTCCTTAGCTTGATCTCAGGAAGTGAGGGAGCTGGGAATTCATAGCGAGGCAGTCATAGGAAAGATGTGATATCAGTGCAGGACATTTAAGAAAAATCTTCTGCCCAGCATGGTAGCCCCTAGATACATGTGGCATTTAAATTAACTAAAATTACGTAAAGTTTAGGATTCAGTTCTATCACATGATCTATATTCCAAGTGCAAATAGCTACATAAGGCTTTTGACTTCTGTATTGGACATGCAGATATAGAACATTTCTTTAATCACAAAAAATTCCATCAGACAGCATTTATCTGGACCACAAGTTGGCAAACTCTCTGTAACAGGCTAGATAGCAAATTTTAGATTTTACAAATCTTAGAGTCTCTGTTGCAACTATTCAACTCTGTTGTAGTTAAAAGCCATAGATGATATGTAAATGAATGAGCATAGCTATGAGCCAATAAAGTTTTATTAATGGACCCTGAAATTTCCATTTCATATATAATGTTCATGTCACAAATACTCATTTTTATATCTGCCTCCCTCATTTAAAAATGAAAAAAAAAAACAACCCTTCATTTTGGGATATACCAAACCAGACTGATCCCGGAAGTCAAAACTTAATGATTTTGGTGTTACTATTACTACACAGGATAACGGACCCCTCAAAAAATTTTACTTTCTTTTCCTTCCAGGATTGAGAATTTTTCCAAGCTCAAAATCAGGATACATAGGGATCTTTCCTTTGTTCTGTATTTTGTAGTCTAGTTCCCTTAATGGTAGAACCATGCTTCTTCAGTAGTGGAGGACTATTAGAACATCTCATCATTAAGATCCTATATGGAGTAGTGGTTATACTACTACTACTTCTGGGAGAAAGACAAGGCTTTCTACTCCTGTAGAGTTACAGTTTTGGAAACCCACAGAGGCATTTCTACCCTGCCCTATTAGCTTTCTATGAATCAGAATTGACTTCATGGCAGTGTTTAGTTTTGCTATTGTTAGATGCCATGGAATTGATTGTTCCTATACAGCAGGGCTGCCATTAAGTAACAGATTGCCAGGTCCTCCTACTCTGGGGTCACTGGGTAGGTTTAACCTGCCTGCAAAAGTTCGTTCAGTTAGCAGCAGCCAAGTGTTTAACTACTGACCTACCTACTGTTCCTTACCAAACTCAAAAACCAGACAAACTCCCATTCTGTCAATGCTGACTCATAGTGATCCCCTGTGGGTTTCTGAGACTGTAACTGTTTGTGGGAATAGAAAACTTTGTGTCTCCTGAGGAAAGGCTGGTGGTTTAGAACTGCCCACCATGTTGATCACAGCCCAAAGCATAACCACTTCACCACCAGGTGTCTTTAAGTCATATCCTAAACCAGTGGTTCTCAACCTTCCTAATGCGGCGACCCTTTAATACAGCTCCTCATGTGTGGTGACCTCCTAACCATAAAATTATTTTTGTTGCTATTTCATAACTGTAGTTTTGCTACTGTTATGAATTGGGTGACCCCTGTGAAAGGGTCGTTCAACCCCCAAAGGGGTGGTGACCCAGAGGTTGAGAACCGCTGCCCTAAACCCTGCTAGAAGTTTCAAATATTAAGCCTAATTCCTTTCCCACCTATTAAGGGGATGAGTCCTCACTTGTAACTTTTAATATCATCTAGTTCAGATTGGAAATTTATCACCAGAGATCAATTCTGACCCTGTTATACCTGGAACAACTTGAGTATATTAGTAGAACAAATAGGGTGTTCTTCACAGATATTGTCGGCTTAGTGTTCACTTCTTGTTGGTAACCTTTTTCTTATTTTAAGATGGAAATGTGGAATAAAGAAATGTTTTGACCCAAACTTTATCTTCAAGTCACATGCTATCTTGGGTGCCACTGTTCACATATACTTAAGGATAAGTAAGGGAAGATACAAACTGCAACGTGAAATAAAACGATCAAAGATATCAGAAAGACATAATAGGGACTAAGAAGTGCATTCCCTTGGGAATGCCCTGGTGGACTGCTAATAAAGTCAGTGGTTCAAACACACCAGTGGCTTCCAGGCAGTAAGGCGACCTGTAAAGAGTGTGGATGAGTCCATCTGAACAACTAGGCGGGCCAGCTCAAAAACCCAACTCCCTA